TGTCCACTACAGCCGGCCCTGTTGAGTCTTGAAATGTGGCTATTCCAGGGACTTCCTTGGCAGTCTGGTGGTTAAGACTCTGCACTCCCAATGCAGGAGGTGTGGGTTTGATCCCTGATCAGGGAACTAAGATCCCCGCATGACACACAGTGCAGCCAAAAAAAAAAAAAAATGTGGCTATTCCGTGCTGAGCTATGCTGGGAGGGTTATAAAATAGATACCAGATTCTGAGGCCTTTGTTCAGGAACAAAAAAGAATACAAAATATCTCATTACCACAAGTAAAGAGCCCACCTGCTGCAACTAAGACCTAGCACAACTAACTAACTATTTTAAAAAAAATCTCATTAGTAGCTTTTTAATATGATTTTAATTTATTTATTATTTATTTTTGGTGGCATTGGGTCTTTGTTGCTGGTACACGGGCTTTCTCCACTTGCGGCGAGCAGGGGCTACTCTCTTTTTAAAATTTATTTATTTAATTTATTTATTTTTGGCTGCGTTGGGTCTTCGTTGCTGCGCACGGGCTTTCTCTAGTTGTGAGCGGGGGCTACTCTTTGTTGCGGAGCATGGGCTTCTCATTGCAGTGGCTTCTCTTGTTGTGGAGCACGGGCTCTAGGCGCGCAGGCTTCAGTAGTTGTGGCACGCGGGCTCAGCAGTTGTGGCTCATGGGCTCTAGAGTGCAGGCTCAGTAGTTGTGGTGCACGGGCTTAGTTGCTCCACGGCATGTGGGATCTTCCTGGACCAGGGCTTGAACCCACGTCCCCTGCATTGGCAGGCGGGTTCTTAACTACTGCACCACCAGGGAAGCCCCCAATAGCTTTTTATAGTGATGACACATTGAAATGATGTTTGGGATAAGCTGGGCTCAATAAAATACATTGTCAACGTTGATGTCACCTGTTTCCATCCACTTGGCTACTAGATTTAGTCTGACACATAGTCCATGTTGTATTTCTCTGGCACTGGTCCAGGAGATCAAGACACCTGTCCTACATCATAGGATGACTTTCATCCAGGTACCTTCTGGATGAGCCTAGAAGGGCGACCTGTGGTGAGGCCTTGCCACCTGCTGGACACATCCGGTACTGCAGCCTGCCTCCTCAGTTCACTGATTTTGCAAATATTCATTGAGTAACCCCTATGCATTGACAACAGGCTCAGTGCCAGGGGGGATGCAGCACTGAACCCACTAAGACCACATATGAGGTGAGGCTGGAGGTTCACAGGATACAGGTAAATGCATGAGTGAATATGTCATAGGTTCAGGGGTCATACGTGTTTGGAGGGATAGAAAGGAGAATACGGGGCCTACAGAGAGAAGAGCTGCACCTGTAGCCAGGGATGTCTGGGAAGATCTATCTGAGGATTTGACATCTGAGCAGGGGTATGAAGAAAGGGAGGGAGGGGGCCGTGAACACGCATGTGCAAAGGAAAGCAGGTGCAAATGTTCCCTGGGGTATTTCCAAACGCTTTCCTCTTCACTTTCCTGCTGGGGCCAGACAGCTTCTGCAGCCGCATTTGACAGTTGAGGAAACTGAAGCCCAGGAAGGTGACAGCCGAGGTTACTCATCCCTCATGCCCTCCCCTTCCTCGTCTTGAGCTAACCCTGCTTCCCACTGCAAACAGGCTTCCCTATGTCTTGTGGATACTGGGGACAACACTGTCACTGCATCACCCTCATGGACACACCCCACAGCTGAGGGGCCAACGCTGAGTTAGCAGATGCCCCATGGGTGGTGCTTCTGGGAAAGCAGTTGTTTTCCACATTAAAAGAAAAAAAAAAGACAAAGCTGGCACATTCATTTTGCCTCTGTCTTTCTGTCTTCCCCCTCTCTGCAATACAGCTGCTATATCTGAGTGAGCAGAAGCCACATTGCAACCGTGAGGACAAATGCCACCAAGAACAGGGGCACCGGCACCCACAGCCCTGAAGTGCCCATCTCGAGATTTCTTGTTGTTTGAGGGGGAAAATGCTTTCAGTTCTTTGGAGTGTATATTTGGTGTGGAGTTGCTAGTTCGTATGGGAATTCTATGTTTAGCTTTGTGAAGAACCTATAGGTGAGGTCTTTGCCTGTTCTTGAATTTCACAGACGTCTAAGCTTACGGTACGTCCTCTTTTTGTTCTGGTTTCATTCGCTTAGCAACGTTGGTGAGATTCCTCCCTGCTGGCAGCCCAGCTCTGTATATGGTCCTCGTCTGTCCTTGTCGCGTAGTCTTCTGTTGTACAAACAGAACAACATCTTGGGTGGATGCGGCCGAAGTTTTGTGAAGTGTAAATTGTTCCATTAGCACAAAATACTGTCTAATTTTAGACCTTCTGATGGGCATATAGGGCATATTCTGTTGTGGTTTTAATTTGCATTTCTCTCATGACAATTGACATTGCATACCATTTCATAAGGTTGTGACTATTTGGATTGACTCTTTACCGAAGTGTCTTTTGCCCATTAAACCAAACAATGGTTGTCTTTTTCTTATTGGTGTGTCTGTCCTTTTTCTAATTGTCAAGGCTATGGGTCCTTTGCTGGTCAATGTTTCAAATATCTTCTCCCCCTCTGTGGTTTGCCTATGCTCTCTCTTAATGGTATATTTTGATGTACATAAGTTCTTAACTTTTACAAAGTCCAGTCTTTCTGCTGATGTTTAATGTTCCTTACTTCCCATTTATAATATCTTTGCTAAGTGCCAAGGTCTCGAAGACATTCCCCTACAGTTTTTTTCTAAAAACTTTAGTGTTCTGCCTTTCACACTTAGATTGATGATCCATTTAACGTTTGTGTATGGTGTGGGGCAGGGGTCAAGGTTCAGTATTTTCCATATACATGTCCCTTTGCTGGAGAGGTAAACCTTCTTCAATGTGCAGGGATGCCTTTGGTGTGAATCAAGCAACCGTTCACATGTGGGTCTGTTTCTTTGGTTCCATCAGTCAACTTGCCTGTCCATCCTTGGGCCAAAACCACACTCCCTTAATTACTGCGTCTTTCTCAAAGTCTCGATATCTAATAGTGTAAGTCCTCCAAATGTATCGTTCTTCTTCTAGATTGCCTTGGCTATTCTAGGTTCTTTGTATTTTAATATAAAATTTAGAATCATTTAGTCAGTTTCTACCAAAAAAAAAAAAAAAAAGGTCTGTTGGGATTTTAATTGGGATTGCGTTGACTCTGTAGATCCATCTGGGGAAGATCTGACATCTTGTGAACCTTCCAACTCCATGGGTATATTATATCCCTTCATTCACTCATGTTTTCTTTTGTTTCCCTCAACAATATTTTGAGTTTCAGTGTCAAGCAGCTGTACGTCTTTTGTCCAACTTATTCCGAGGTGTTTGATGGTTTTGATACTATTTTAAATGGTATCTTAAACATGTAAATATTTCCTTTTCCAAGTGCTTACTCTTCGTATATAGAGATGGATAAGAGATTCGGAAATTTCACCAAAGATGCACCGATGGCAAATGAGCACATGGAAAGATGCTCAGCACCACGTGTCAAGAGGGAAAAGCAAAGTAAACCCACAGCGAGATGCTGTGTCATACCTGAGAACGGCTAAAATCCATACACAGGGATTTACCAAAGAAAAATGAAGGTGTAGGTCATGTACACAAATGTCCACGGCAGTTTAATTCATAATCGTCCCAAGCTGGAACCCACCCCAGAGCAAACCAGAGGAGTGAATAGACAGACGTGTATCCCCTACTACGGAATAGGGCTCACCAAGAAAAGGGGGTCCGCCTGGACACCTCTCAAAATAATTGTCCTCGGCATAAGAAACCAGACAAAACCTAGTAAAGAAGACATCCTGTGTGGTTTCCTTTCTATAACACCTTAGGAAACTCAAGTGAATGTCCAGTGACAGAAGCAGATGAATGGTCATGTGGGGAGGGGCGGGCGGGGTGGGAGAGGACTGGGGAGGCACGCAGCAGCTGAAGGGGTGTGCACGTCACGTGACCGTGGCGAGGCTTCCAGGAGTGTACACAGACGTCAAGGCTTACCAAGTGGTATGCTTTAAGCACGTGTAATTAACTTTATGGAAATCTTACCTCAGTAAAGCTGTCACTATATATACACACACACGGAACCCCTTCCAGACGTGGTGTTTGTTCTGAGACTCTTCAACAGAGGCCTGGGTGAGGGTCAGGAGCCCAGTTCTCAGCCCAGTCCAGACCCGGACAGTCTTGGGCGGGTCCTGCCCTGTATCCCCTGGCTGAAGGGAGGTGAGGACCGCCACGTGGGAGACATGGGTTGGACAGAACAAATGCTGGCCTTGTCACCAGGGCCCCGACCCCCCTACACACAGTGGGCTGGGAGACACGATGGGGGCTGTGGCCAGTGGGGACATAAGCCACACCGTGGCAACTGGGAGGAGCAGGGACAGACAGTACCCACCCTCTCTGCCTCAGCAGAGAGTCCCCTGTTAGTGCCCAGCCGGGGTCCGGCATGGGGCCTGGGGTGATGCAGTCAGGCAATGAGTTTAAAAAGAGCTCCGCCCCCTACTGGCTGTGTGGCCTCAAGAAACTGGCTTCCCCTTTCTGGGCCTCAGTTTCCTCCCCTGAAAAATGAGGCTGGTGGTCGTGCCCACCTCGTGGGGTAAAGCAATGGGCACACGGGGAGCACACAGTGAAAGGGGGTGGGTTGAACATGAGCTGCTACTGCTGTTACTTGTTATTTCTTAGAGAGAGGGCTGCAGGTGGAGGGATTTAGACTCATCAACTCAGTATTCACATCCCAGTGGCTCCCGATTGCAGTCTAAGAACCTCAGAATCCAGCCCACCCACGCCCACTTGACAGATGGGGAGACTGAGGCCCCACGAGGGCACAGACTCCTTTGAGACCAGGCCAGGGACCCATCCCCCTGGCCGGGGATCCTCTGGCCACCTCCTTCTTGAAACCGGGTGCCAGTTACCCTGCAAGGCAGGGTAAGGAGGTGGTGGTGGGGTGGGGGACTCGGCGTGGGTGGCCACAGACAGGCTGAGGAGAGAGGGCTGGGCAGGCACCAGGTTCAGGCCGATGGCCAGGCCCTGTCCAGAGCCTGCACGTGCTCCTTGGCCAGCAGCCGCAAGGACGCCTCCTCCAGGGTGAAACTGTCCATGAAGCCTGGACCAAAGGTGTGGGGCCCGAAGGACCCTTGCAGCCCCGGACCCGGGCCCAGGAGGCGTGGGAGTCCCGGCACGGCTGGGGGCCCAGGGCCCAGCCAGGGCTCCAGGGGCAGTGGCATGGTGGGAGGGCGGGCAAAGGGTAGTGCTGGGGCCTCGGGGAGCCTCGGGGCTGCCACGGCCCCGGAGCCTGACTCCAGACGCTCCTGGCGGCGCCACTTAGCCCGGCGGTTCTGGAACCACACCTGGAAGCAGCAAGAGAGGTGCTCCTGGGTCAGGGCTGGTGGGGTGAGGTGAGGCCACTCTTTTCTGCTCTGGGCCTCCCAGCTTCTCGGGGTTCTGCCTGCTGTCTAACCTGACCCCCACCTGTTGCAGTGCCAACATATGGTGTTACCTACCCCAAGGAGATGGCTGTTTTGAGAGCAGGATCTCTGCCTCTTGGCCCCCATCAAATCAGCCCCAAAGTCTTCTGAATCCAGGCTCTCCTTGCCTTTCCCTCTGCCCAGGGCCCCTCAGGCTCCCTGGCCTTCCCCCTGGTCTCTCTTGGCCCTTGGCATGAAGTTCCAGCCACTGAGCTCGGCATTTGAGGCCCTTCCCAAGCTCCTTCTCTGCCTCTGCTTCTGCCTGCCTCAACACTCAGCTCTGTGGAAATGCCTCCTATTTCACCCCTCCACACCTTCGCACACGTTGCTCTGGAGGGCTAGAAAAATGCCCTTTCTCCTTTCTAGATGGCAAATTCCTATTCAAACATCAAGGCCCCAGTCCCACGTCCCCTCCTCCGGGGAGCCTTCCCATGCACTGGGAGGGTTCATACCTGGCACCGGCTCCCTCCTAGGGTTGTTAGGGGGTCCCCTCACCTGCACGCGCACCTCGGGCAGGTGCACCTTGGCGGCCAGCTCCTCGCGGCTGTAAACGTCCGGGTAGTGGGAGGTCTCAAACGCCCGCTCCAGCTGGTGCAGCTGGTACGTGGTGAAGGTCGTGCGGTTCCTCCGGTGCTTCTTCTTGGGGGCCTCCTCACCAGGCCCTGGCCGCCCACCCTCAGCAGGCCCCTCGCCCGGGCTCAGGAACATGGCTGCTCCTTGCCCTCACCTGGCGGGGTGGCGGCAGGACAGACGGCAGGTGAGACACAGGAGGGACTGAGGTTGGGGAGGGCGGGGGAGCCTCCGGCCCCTGCTGGGTCTGGGGTAAGATATGGAGGGGCTTCTCCTTCCACTGGGTCCTGCATTCCTTCTGCCTCCCCAGCCTCTCTGTGCATGTCGGATCACCTGACTCTGTCTCCACTTCTTTCTCTCTGATCATTTTTCTCTGTGTCTCTGTCCCCCCCACCCCACCTCTATTTCTCTTTCCC